ACGTGAAACACACACACAGAGACACGTGAAACACACACACAGAGACACGTGAAACACACACACAGAGACACGTGAAACACACACAGACACGTGAAACACACACACAGAGACAGGTGAAACACACACACAGAGACAGGTGAAACACACACACAGACACGTGAAACACACACACAGAGACAGGTGAAACACACACACAGACACGTGAAACACACACTGACAGAGCCACGTCAAACACACACACACACTGACAGAGACACGTGAAATACACATACACGTGAAACACACACAGAGACACGTGAAACACACAGAGACACGTGAAACACACACACACACACACGTGAAACACACACACACACACACGTGAAACACACACACACAGACACGTGAGACACACACACACAGACACGTGAAACACACACACAGAGACACGTGAAACACACACAGACACGTGAAACACACACAGACACGTGAAACACACACAGACACGTGAAACACACACAGACACGTGAAACACACACACAGAGACAGGTGAAACACACACTGACAGAGACACGTGAAACACACACACACACTGACAGAGCCACGTCAAACACACACACACACTGACAGAGACACGTGAAACACACACACACTGACAGACACGTGAAACACACACACACACACCGACAGAGACACGTGAAACACACAGACACGTGAAACACAGAGACACGTGAAACACACACACAGAGACACGTGAAACACAGAGACACGTGAAACACACACAGAGACACGTGAAACACAGACACGTGAACCACCCACAAAGATAAAAATCCCCCATATAGCCTTAACAGATTGTAGGGGCAAGTGCTGTCAGCGAGCACCTATTAAGGTCGGTAACGGTACACGAGGGGGTGGGTGGCCAGCACCACGCCCGACCGCCTTTGTCTCCCTAGTGGCAATGTTTACACACTGCACCAGGTATTCATTTGAGGCTGAGTCGACCTAGGGGAGGCCCGGGACCGGTTAAGATAATCGTCACTGGTGTTAGCCGTGAGCGGGAATCGAAACCGGGTCGCCAGGTTCATAGCGCAGCGTAGCGCTAACCGCTACACTATCGCTCCCCACAACCGCCCACACACACACAGACACGTGAACCACGCACACACACACACAGAGACACGTGAAACACACACACACACAGAGACACGTGAAACACACACACACAGAGACACGTGAAACACACACACACACACAGAGACACGTGAAACACACACACACACAGAGACACGTGAAACACACACACACACAGAGACACGTGAAACACACACACACAGAGACACGTGAAACACACACACACACAGAGACACGTGAAACACACACACACACACACAGAGACACGTGAAACACACACACACACAGAGACACGTGAAACACACACACACACACAGACACGTGAAACACACACACACACAGAGACACGTGAAACACACACACACAGAGACACGTGAAACACACACACACAGAGACACGTGAAACACACACACACACACAGAGACACGTGAAACACACACACACACAGAGACACGTGAAACACACACACACAGAGACACGTGAAACACACACAGAGACACGTGAAACACACACAGAGACACGTGAAACACACACACTGACAGAGACACGTGAAACACACACACTGACAGAGACACGTGAAACACACACACACTGACAGAGACACCTGAAACACACCCACAGACACGTGAAACACACACAGAGACACGTGAAACACACACACAAAGAGACACGTGAAACACACACACAAAGAGACACGTGAAACACACAGAGACACGTGAAACACACACACAAAGAGACACGTGAAACACACAAAGAGACACGTGAAACACGCACAGAGGCACGTGAAACACACACAGAGACACGTGAAACACACACAGAGACACGTGAAACACACACACTGACAGAGACACGTGAAACACACACACACCAGCCACCGGACACGCGAGCCACACACACGGGTACGTGTAACAGGAAACAGACACGCGCAACACAAAAGCTAGACACGGGGGACACCCGCGAAACACAATATACGGACACGTGAAACGCTTGACACACGCGTGAAACAAATAATACACACGGACAACAAAAACACGCGCAGTCACGTAACTGGCACACGCGCGGGTGAAATGAGAGCCGCGCGCGCCGTGTCCGAGGGAGTTGTGGCAGGCGCCGCGCCTCAGAGTCCGTGCGAGCGAGCGGGGGAGCGAGCGGGTGAGTGAGGAGAGTGCGTGGAGGAGGAGGGGGCGGCTCCTCACGTCGCTGTCGAACTCGTCGTCGATGTCGCTCATGGCGCGCGCGGGGCGACGAGGCGCGTGGTGCGCGGAGCACGAGGCGCGGCCTCCTCACGTGACCGCCCTTTCGCACCGGAAACAGAACGCACGCGGGCAGCCCTCGCGCCCCGCCTTTTCCGCTTCTCCCACACGCCCCAAACGCCCACGCGCTCGGGCGCCCCGCCCTCCTAGAGTGAGGCCTCGCCCCCCTCTCCTCCCACGCCTCGCCCCCCTCCTGCCATGCCCCCCCCCCTCCCACGCCTCGCACCGTGCTCAGCTTGCGCGCCCACGTGCGCGCCCACGTGCACTGCCCCCATCGAGTCGAGCGGGCCCCCTCTGTGCCGTCACCCCCACTTTGCCCCGCCCCCTTCACGGATACGCCGCCCCCTTCCTTCGTGCCCCGCCCCCCGTCTCGCCCACTTGGCCCGCCCCCTCTCGTCCACGTGCAGCACCCCCTCCCCCCTCTCGCCCACTGCCCCCATCGCCCAACCCGCTTCCTCTGTGCTGTCACCCTCCCCTGTGCCCCGCCCCATTACTTAGTGCCCCGCCCCTCGTCAGGAGTCGATTCAACTTGGGGGTCGCGATTCTCACGACTCGCGTCGTCTTCACCGTCGTGGTGACGCTACAATCCACAGCGGTGCGCGCGCACGCACTAGCGAATTACCGATCTCAACTCATCGATTACGACACCCACAATATAATGCGTTGTGAGGATCGCCGTGTAATCGATTACTCGTTCGTCAGTGATGAACGATCCCTAACTGTGATACCCATCGCCCTCGGCGTGCAACGATTGAATCGCTTCGTCTCAGCGGTGGGCATCTTCCCCTGGGGCGCGTTCTCTCGCCTTTGGCTGCTTGCTCGACGAGTCCCAGACTCGAGACGATCGCCTCTCAGTGTCACCGAGAGGGCGGGGGGCGGCTGCCACCCCAATGGGTGACGAGCGCAGGCCACAGTGGCGGTGGCTGAGACTGTTGGTGGGGACTTTAATTGTGGTGGATCTAATTGTTGGTGGTGGCGGCTGTAATTGTTGGTGGTGGCGGCTGTAATTGTGGTGGATGTAATTGTTGGTGGTGGCTGTAATTGTGGTGGCTGTAATTGTTGGTGGTGGCTGTAATTGTGGTGGATGTAATTGTTGGTGGTGGCTGTAATTGTGGTGGCTGTAATTGTGGTGGCTGTAATTGTTGGTGGTGGCTGTAATTGTGGTGGATGTAATTGTTGGTGGTGGCTGTAATTGTGGTGGCTGTAATTGTTGGTGGTGGCTGTAATTGTGGTGGATGTAATTGTTGGTGGCTGTAATTGTGGTGGCTGTAATTGTGGTGGCTGTAATTGTTGGTGGTGGCTGTAATTGTGGTGGATGTAATTGTTGGTGGTGGCTGTAATTGTGGTGGCTGTAATTGGTGGTGGATGTAATTGTTGGTGGTGGCTGTAATTGTTGGTGGTGGCTGTAATTGTGGTGGATGTAATTGTGGTGGCTGTAATTGTTGGTGGTGGCTGTAATTGTGGATGTAATTGTGGTGGATGTAATTGTTGGTGGTGGCGGCTGTAATTGTTGGTGGTGGCTGTAATTGTGGTGGATGTAATTGTTGGTGGTGGCTGTAATTGTGGTGGCTGTAATTGTTGGTGGTGGCTGTAATTGTGGTGGATGTAATTGTTGGTGGTGGCTGTAATTGTGGTGGCTGTAATTGTTGGTGGTGGATGTAATTGTTGGTGGTGGCTGTAATTGTGGTGGATGTAATTGTTGGTGGTGGTGGCTGTAATTGTTGGTGGTGGCTGTAATTGTGGTGGATGTAATTGTGGTGGCTGTAATTGTGGTGGATGTAATTGTTGGTGGTGGCTGTAATTGTGGTGGATGTAATTGTGGTGGATGTAATTGTTGGTGGTGGCTGTAATTGTTGGTGGTGGTGGCTGTAATTGTGGTGGATGTAATTGTGGTGGATGTAATTGTTGGTGGCTGTAATTGTTGGTGGTGGTGGCTGTAATTGTGGTGGCTGTAATTGTGGTGGATGTAATTGTTGGTGATGGTGGCTGTAATTGTTGTTGGTGGTGGATGTAATTGTGGTGGATGTAATTGTGGTGGATGTAATTGTTCGTGGTGGCTGTAATTGTTGTTGGTGGTGGCTGTAATTGTTGGTGGGACGGTGCCGGCGCCGCATCAACAAGGAAGCCCCCCCCCCCCCCGCCAACCTTGTTCAGGGCACCAACATGTCCAGTCCAGGGCTATGCCGATCAACGCCCTCTCGTGACGAGTCCTGCCCAAAGCCCATTTTACTGAACGTGGACAAGATCGGCAATCACGGGAACTGTGTTTTTAAATGTTGGACATTTTGACACCGGGTGGGTAGAGGTCTGAATTTGCTGTCTGCCAAACTCCATTTTGACGTTATAGTTTACAACTCGACAATAAAAACATTTGGTTGAGGTGGTGGTAATAGTGGTGATGGGACCTGCAGTAGCCCTCAGATCCCCGGGGGGTTGAGCCAGCAACAAGTTTGGGATATGGCAGAAGTCGCGTCGGCCGTGATAACCTCTTGACCTAATTTCAGACTCGTACAGGAAAGGTTCATACGTCTGAAATGTAGAGATGTGCGCGCATTACTCTCCGCAGTAGTTACGGGACAATTGCCACGCAGTCAACATACAGCGTTGTGGAAAATAGCAAACCTACCGTCACACACAGCCTGTTTAACTTATTTAATTGTTCACCAAGACATGAAAAAATCACGTTCTATTCGATAGCACAGAAAAATCATAGTGGAATCATTTAAAATAAAAGTAGAATTTACACAGAGGAAAACATTAATTTTGCAGCAATGACAATTATCATGAACGTTCCCTTTTGTACAGTGACCCTTGGACAGGCATTTGGGTGGTTTTCAAATGTAGATATACAGGCCAGAAAGTAGCAAAGGTTCCAAAATGCATCCAGGAAATACAACCAAGCGAGGTGTGTATATTTGGTGACTGTTGGACGGCATGTCACAACACACTGGAACACGCGGGTCTGGTCTAATTCTGAACAATGACGCAACAACACTCAGTATAGCTTCTGTGATGTAATTGTGCAAAACTAGTACAAAAATAAATGCCAATATTGGAGCAAGTCCATTAGCTGCAACATTTTTAGCTGGAATATTTGAGCGCCAAGCGGTTTGGAAAATGTTTTCGGCAGCACGGTAAGAGAAGCAGATTTTAAAAAGGTTCCCTTGTGTTATTTATAGACATCACCACTGCAGATGGGAACATACGAACCTTATGGCAGTACCCCCGGGATTCCATAGTACCCCGGCTCTTGCATAATGTCCGTGATGCAGTCACGTTTAGTCTGTCGATGGTCGGCGATGCGGCAATCGACTCATCTCGACGAGCTGTACACGATGCACCACCACCACGGTGTGTGCGAGCGTTCAGGGTTTCGGCGCAATCGTCCTCGCCGCGTTTCGACATCGCGGAGTGTGGCACTCATTTCGGATTGATTGGTTACCCCAGTCGCGGAGTTAAGTAACACCCCTGGAAAAAAAATAGTGTCCCAGAAATAAAATATTTACCCTAATTGCCTCGGCCAGTTTGTATTATTTGGTACCCCAGGGTACAGCCATAAGGATCACGTGCAGACGCACGGGAACCGTCTGTGCCAACAGGAAATAAAACATTTCAGTGAATGTCAGCTCGCGGCGCCACACTTGGGTTGTCCGAATATTGTTGTACCTCAGTTTCTAGGGTGATTTAGGCGTCCGGGTAATACTTGGGGTCGATGCGGTTTACTAGAGAAACGGCTCATGCTCTTACGTAAAATGCTGCATGATTTCAGTGTTCAATACAAGTCAAAGTGATTTCCTGCTCAAATGAGCATAGATAAATTGGTGCTCATCTCCTGTTTACACCCCTGAACAAGTGCTGGGGGGGGGGGGGGTTATCCATTTGACAGCCATTGTCGACTTCCCCACAAAGTGGTACTTTATTTTATTGGCACGGAGAGATGATGGGCCGGCTCAATCCCCAGAGACGCTCACTATACCATTGAGCCACCTGGCCTTTTAAATCACATTTAATGTAAAATATAGTCCTACTCAGTAGCAGTTGGAATACACTTATAGCCTCAATTTTAAAAGTGCCAATTGAAACACTCCAGACTTGCTGAGACATCTGAATGGGTAATTTTCCACTGATTAATGCGTTTTACCTGGAATGGGGACGTTAACTCGTTAGAAGAAATCTTTAACATAAAAGATGATTACAAACTTGGTATTTGTGGCGAAACAAATCTAAGCACGTTTGAATGCATTGAAATCTTTCCAATTATTAAAGTTTATGCGAATTAGGTGGTATTTTAACTTGCTATTAAATATTGCAATTGATTTAATATCAATTAATCTACTTACAATTATTGTGTTTCTGATAACATCCATTTTTTAGCCCGTCAAAAATGATTGTTCACGTTTATTTCAGGCCTCCGATGACAGAATCGTGGAACAAATGCATATTTTGTTTTAAGCTATGAACCAGGTATGCGACCCTTGCTTACATGACCGAGTGTCTTTGTTGCAGACTTCCTAATAGAAGTGTACAGCTTTAGAGGCGATGATCTGTGTTACAGGTGTTGAACAAACAGCACGCAAAATAAAATCAAAGTGGTGAAGAGAGATGCAATCGAGATTCGTCCTTGCTGAAGGTATTCCGCGCGAGTTATCCCTGGCCAGGTTGGTGAGAACAATTCTTGTACAAGACAACCAACTCCTGCAGGGACGATTACAATTCTGGATGTTCTGTGGGAGGACTGTCACGTGTCATGAGTGACGACGGAGGGGGGGGGGGGAATTGCAGCATTCAATAGTTTGTTACGGAGAGTGAAATGGGCTCCGGGCAACTTGAGTAAATTTAACCAGAGAGTCCAAGTGCTACCCTTATCCTCCAAACAATGTAGATTGCTCGGATCTGTAATGCCTGGTTAGGATAACCATGAAGATAACATAATTGTTAAAATAACACATTAGGAGAAATAAAATCATCCAGTGAATGTAATCGTCTATTGGCAACACAAACCAAAAGTCTTGTGACAGTGGAGCACATTAAACGAGATTCTCATTGTTACCGAATGGATAAATTGTTCTTGCACAAGGTCACATTTCTATGTTGCAACGAGGAGTCAATCGTGCTGCATCTCCAGGACCACTGCGCAATGGTCTCGGAGGGCCCAAGTCGGAACCAGGTCGGGCCCAGGTCGGGCCCAGGTTGGGGCCCAGCTGAGGCCTTTGTGTGTCAACAATTGCTCAAAGGGCTCAGGGGCCCTTTCCTGCTCCATCTCCACTGCACCTGCACCCTTTCCCTGCCCTTAGCAGCAGGAGGCAAAGAGCATACATGTTTTAACTTAAGCTTGTGTGAGGTTAACACACGCTTACAATATTTGTTGCCTTTTTTTCTAAACCAAGACACATTCCGAAAAGTGAAGCGAAGCGAGGGACACCACTGACTACACATCTCATTATCAAGTTTCTCCCCCCCGCCGCCCCACCCGCCGTGACGTCTGGCTCTGAGAGCGGCCAGGGGTGACATTGTGCAAACGTGCTTCTTCTGAGAGGGAGCCACGTGGCCCGGGAAATCGATGGGGGTTTGGGTACCGGGGTCGACCCAGTGAGGCCGCGGCGTGCTACTCGGGGCCAAGGTCACGCGCCGAGCTCGCTAACCCGGCTTGCTCGCTTCCCTCCTGCTGTCAGAAATGACGCAGTGGTGTAAACGTGCCGGCACGTCTCACAATGCCCAATGCCGGTGCCGGCACGATGAGAAAAGCTCCTATTCTACGATATTTCCACAGAGGGGAAACTGCAGTGAACGTGAGCCGTAGGACGAACAGCTTTCATATTGGGACTTCAATATTTACATTTTGACCATTAAATGCGGTATAAGTAGCACTATGAATCATTCATTCAGCATAAAGTTTAATCGGCCCTTAGAGAGAACCACACATTCTCAACAACTTACCCATTATCAAGCACAAATGGATATTCATGACGAAAGATAGGACTTTCTTCATGTTTGAAATATACAGTATGTCTGTTGCCATTTGATTGGAATTAGTTGGGCAAAAGAGTGGATATTGTTTAAGTTGTATATTTAGGAAATTTTGCAAACAAATTATTCTCCCGTGTTAATTTCGCCAGTGAAAGAAAGAATTAACAACGGTAACCTCCTAACCTGCAGTCCTTCGCAGCGAGCCCAAGACAGTGGCTCTGTCGGGCATTGCACGTAAATCCATTCTCTTTTTGCAGCTGCTAAAGATGGCACTTTAAGGCTGAACAAATGCTGTGTAAAAGGCCACAGAAAATATTGAGCAGGCTGTAGTACGATGTCCTCAAACGGTGACTTCAAACACCTTTAACCAAACCAAAGACTACTCAACTTGCCAAAACGGATCAAACTGTTACACCAGGCAAGTTTGGGACACCTCTCTTGCACGTGGCTCGTCGCACGCCGGATCCGGCGAAGGCAAAGTTCACAAAGGGAGAAGACAACCGATCGAGGGGAAACGCCGTGCAGTCACGATCCCGCTGCCTCTGCTTCTTTTTTGTCCGCGCTGTGGCGATAATTGCAGCAATCGGGAGTAGCGCGTGTGTCGAATTGCACGCAGACATCTCGCACAAGTACAAAATTGAGGTAATGTTCTCATGATGAATGTGTGCTTTACAAGGATTACGATCTATAATCGGGCAAAGTAGCGAGCTGGTTTCTCCTGATCAGGCTGTATTAGGCCCAGGTGAAGGACTATTTGGACGTGCGGGCTCCCACCACGGAGGGAGTGCGTCACGTCTGCTCCCACACGACTCTCACCACGCGTCTCCCACACGAATGTACCCACCCCGCCTGCTTGCCTTGCGACACAGTCGGACACCCAGGCAGCCTGCCAGCTGCACCCTGAGGTACTATCTCTGCCTTGAACTTAACAACAAAACCCAAGTGTTGGAGATGCATGGTGTTTGATAAAGGAATGTAACAAGTTTACAAGCCCAGATAATGATCAACTCGTCCAACACACCCCCCCATCCCTCACGTAACACAAGACAGCCAGGTTAAAGCTTTACAGACACAGTTCTTGACAAAAAAATAACAAATAACAGTGAACCACAAACAACCTAACTGTTTAAGTGGCAATTCCGGAGCTGCACTTTGCACTCGTGATTATAAAGGCTGAAAAATTACTTCCAAATGCTCATCAGTCTTGTCACAAATGCAAATCGCCTGGCGCGCTTACCACAAGACTTGCCTTAAGACTGCCAATGAAATACAAAGCAATAGCAAGTAAACAGCATCGCCAGCAGTAGTTTATTTCTTCATTTCATGGTAGTCTTTTGTTTAAATTCATTCACAGAATGCAGTCTCTCTCTCGTCTGTCTTTTGATTCTTCAATTACAACTCGCGATTCCGGGTAACGCAGTCTCTCGCTGCTGCTGCTGCTGGACGGTGACGGTCCCCCCCCCCGCCTGTTGCTCGACTGCTAGTGCTGCTTTTGCAGACGTATCCGGTCGGCCTCGGGGTAGGAGGGGTACTTGACGACCTCCACCCTCTCCTGCACCTTGTAGGAGGGGTAGAGTCCCATTCGGCCCGTGCGACGGTTCACCCCCTTGGAGTATCCGTCCCAGTGGTTACCCGCCACTCCCACCGTGTCGCCCGGCTCCAGGGCGATCTCGTCGGGCGAGCGCGGCTCGTGGCGGTAGACCGCCGCCTGGTTGTGGGCGTTCTGCCCCCCGAAGTAGTAGATGTCGTCGAGCGAACGGAACGAGGCGGACGCGTCCGTGTGCAGGGTCTGCATGATCTCATATGCCACGCGACACACCTGTGGTAACAAAGACAACAACAACCAGCGACATGAATACTTGAGCAGACAATATGCCTTCCTCTCATATCTCATCCTCCGTGTATAAAGTAGAAAGGATTATTTTTTACACTCATCAGCCCCACGCAGCCTTCTGCGAGTGAATTATTTCAGGAGCACTGGCTCAATACTAAGGACCTCTGGACCGGTTTTGACACACATCATCTCATCGGTAAGTTAGTAGTCACAAGAAAAACATCAGCAGGAGGGCAGAAGGAAAGCAGCCTCAAAAGGCGTTTGTGAAGAGACTGTGGAATTGACAAGCGCTTCGTTCTGTTGACCTGCCTTAGTAGTCCGGTGTCAGTCTTTGCAACACCACAGAGTCCTGCGTTGTACAAATCCACCCAGCCCCTGTAGGCGAGGAGCTGATTTCATCGGTCCGTCTCCTCGGTGGACGCACTCTCCGGCACGTTCTCTCCATTGGCTGCCACTCGGTTATTATTCTCAACCAGTGGCCAGCAGCCCTTCTTAATTGGCCAAAGCCCACTAATTAACAGTCAACATGATGTCTTTGAGCGGTGTGTGCTCTGTAATCGATGTGTTCCTCTTTCTGTCTTTCAGCGTAGTTTTAAGCGTGCACCTCTCCATGCTTCTTTGCACATTTTCCATTTTCTAGTTAACGTCTGATTTGTGATGTCACATAGGGTATACAGTCATACCTCGGTATACGACCGCTTTGGAATACGGCGAATTTGGCATACGTCGTGTCTTGACGAGAAAAAAATGTCTTGGGATACGACGTCTTGCTTGGGGTACGACGTCTTGGGATACAACGTCTTGCTTGGGGTACGACGTCTTGCTTGTGATACGACGTCTTGCTTGTGATACGACGTCTTGCTTGTGATACGACGTCTTGGGGTACGACATCTTGCTTGTGATACCACATCTTGCTTGGGATACAACGTCTTGCTTGTGATACAACGTCTTGTAATAAGACGTCTTGCTTGGGATACAACGTCTTGCTTGGGGTACGACGTCTTGCTTGGGGTACGACGTCTTGCTTGGGATACGACGTCTTGCTAGGGATACGACGTCTTGCTAGAACTTGTATGGGTCTGGATGAGTCGCCGCGTAGCCGCGTAGACCCCGTTCACGACTGAGACAAAGCGCCGCTCCTCAGTCTGCCTGTAGATCTCGTTCAGTGCACATAACTGTGCATTTTCACGTGTTATTTGTCATTTTAATGTATGTATGCATTTTAGTACTAAGTAGTGTCTACATTATGTTATACAACCACATTAATGTATAATATGCCATATAAAATATAATTTCTTATACTCTGGAACGGATTATTTCCTTTCCCTTTATTTCTTATGGGAAAAACTCGTTTGGTATTTACGTCATTTTCGGTATAAGTCCTCCTACCTTCTGGAACGAATTAACAACGTATACCGAGGTAACAATTGTATATGCATCTTTATAAAAAGAATGCTTCTGTAGAAAAACACATTATTATTATTATGCTCGTTTACTACATATGAACAACGTGGGGCAAGCGACGCCCGCACGTTGAAGATGTCGATGCAAGCTCTGGTCCCCCCCTCCACCGCGGACGGAGCCCTGGGCCGCCGGCATGCAGCGCCAGCTCTCACGCGATGCCGAAATCAACACCGCGCTGCTGATCGTCGTTGGCGACTGCACCCCCGAGCTCCGCTCCACCGCCGCGGCTCCCCGTGCAGTGAACATTGCTCCCAGCCAACGTCCGGCGCGATGCCGTGACGACCCGGGGAGTAGTACCACAGCTTAAGGACAACATCGGTCCGCAGCTCCAACGAGACCTAGAAGAATCGCCAAGCCGTCGGCTGACATCCAAGCGGCCGAAAAAGAAGACGTCGGCACTCGCCGCACGTGATGGTGGGCTGGGCGTGGACGTGGCAGCACTAACACCTCGTGGAGGACGCGAGGGTGGAAGCGCCTCCGGGTTTCTCTCTCCCACGACGACCGCGGTCCTCGCCACACCGTGCTCGGACATCGGCAAACGGAAGATCGCAGAATCGCCGAACTGCGGCTGTGGTGAAGTCTAAACCATCAAAGGCATCGTCGACGGACCGCGCCATCCGTGGAGTGTCCCGGCAGTGTCGCTGCGACCCACATAGCGTCTACTGCTGCCTCCTCCTCGGATTGGTTGGAAAACACTGAAGTGTTCAACTCTTAACCTGTTTAATCACCGGTGCTTTTCCATCCTGCCATGCAAAAGAAGAAGCCTAACCAAAAAACCTGACTCCCCCAACTCTTTTTTTCAAGAGGATCCTGCAAAGTTTTAGCAGCACAGGACGATGATTGCTATGTAGATTGCAAATGTGAAATTGACAGTGCAATTTTTAAAATTTGCCTAATTTTGAGCATCTACCGTAAAGCAGATGTTGAACGTCTTTTGCACCGTATGTAGCCAACTGTGCTAATCCTAGGTACGGGTCTATGGTGAGTACTTGCGGGTGTACGGTTAATACACCCGCAAGTATTAACCAGGACGGACGTTGGATTCAAACGGCGAACTTCAACAACGTTGGGAAGCGTTTCAGAATCGCTCGCGAGTTTCGCTTGCGTTCAATGATTGCATTGCTATTCGACTGCAAGCGGTGCTAGCCCGGTGGTGTGCATGGAAACCCATGGCAGGTGAAGCCAATTCTTTCACAAGTGGGAGAGTTGGCCTCTTATGAACGTGCCATCCGCTGATCGCGTAACCGAGCGTTGCCCGTTATTCGCTCTCACGGGAGGTACGAACACGCTCTGCATGAAACTACACCGATGCCATCGAATTGGTGACCAGACTGCACACGCAGTTGCAGTGTTTTCGTCAGTTGCTTTTCTCAAACGCCATACAAAATAAATGTATCCGTAGTTTGATGAGTTTACTTCCGTTTTTTTGTAAAACCAAGTTGAGAAGTCAAGTGGCCAGGATGCACAAAGCAATCATCGCCTCTGAATGGGAGACCAATGCCCCACCTTTGCAAGCGAGGTACCAAATTACTGTGCGTCGCACAGGGAAGGCTGCCACTGGGAGTGCCCTTTCAAACGTGTGAGCTGTGATGTACGCATTAATACTGAATTTCTTTGCGCACCGTTCGTATCCAACCGTGTTAATGGGAGGCGCGACTGCGAGTTGATTGTCGCGTGTGCAGCGCCCTTGAGAGGGACGCTCGGTCAGCAACGAATCGTGTGACGGTCGCGTTCGCACGGGCGAGCTGAGCGCGTGGCCACACAGCGTCGGGGGTCACCTGGGAGGAGAAGGTGCAGACGAGGAAGTCGCTGTGTGCCAGGAAGTGCACGTCCATGATGACCCCGATGAGGGACTGCTCCGAGTAGCGGTTCTGCAGGCCGGCCGAGCGTGAGATGGCGTTATCGCTGATGAACACGTAACTCGGGTACCTGCAGTGGACGCACGCAAACACGCGAGTGAGAGGCTTAGGACGCGCAAAGGAATACAAAATTTTCCAAGTAATTTTTTTTTAAATATAAAAAGCTTAAATAGTCTCTCCTGAACAATGCGTGTTAGCACAGCTCGTCCGTGTTGATGCAAAACAAAAAAAGTAAAATTTCTCAATAAATAAAATTAGAAAACTTTCCCCTCCGTATTTCCCTGCTGCTCTACTCCTGCAGTTCCATGATAACCCGCCGACATCCACGGGTCACGGATTGCGGTCCGCGAAGCGTTTTCCAACCGACCGCCGTGCGCTGCGGATTACGGGAGGAGTCGCGATCCGCCAATAATCCGCAAATTACGGGGATTCACGGATTAGTGGAGCGTGGATTACTGGAGTTCTGTTAACCTTCATGTTTAACGTGGAGAAAAAGCAAACAGGAAGTTGGCGTTTTGTTTGCTTGTTTACTTCAGTACATAAATTCTCCGCTGCAATGCCGACGATCACTTTGTCGCGCGTCGGGGAAGGGGCTTCTTCTAGCAGCGGATCAACAACGGACCGCGAATGACGAACGTTATCCGCTCGGGGACGTGGGCCCTTCCGAGCGGGAGTCGCCCACGGAAGGGGGGGGCCGCGTACTTGGCTTTGGCCTCGGCGAGCAGGCCCGGGTCGTCGGTGGCCAGGTAGACACGCTTCACCTCCACCGGGGCGCTGCGAGCCAGCAGCTCGTAGTGCTCCTCCACGTGGCTCATGTACTCCTCGATGGCGTGGAACGCCGCCTCCGTGCCCACCTTGTCCGTGCGCCGCACGTGAACCCTGCGGACGTGCACAGGCCCGTCGGTGCGCGCCACCGGATGCGCCGGCTCTCGCTAAGACGCAGCCGCCACCCTAAATTGGGAAGGGTTTCTGGGACATCGACTGGCGATTCACCCTCGCCACCCGGCCCCCCTTCAACGGTGTTCACAGACAAACGGATATGACTCATAAGTAAGGCGCCGGAGCAAAAACGAGGCAGACTGTCGGCCGTGGAGGTGTGGAATCGGTTCCTATCGTTATGCAGTGATTGACAAGTGAGACGGTGAACGCGCGTTTGTTCATGGCAGCTGGGTCAGACTAAGGTCAGACTAAGGTCAGACTAAGGTCAGACTAAGCTTTAAATCTGGATCCTAAGTTTTAATCCACGCTCTATTGATGACATCGATGCCGTTCACAAACTGCTGTCTTCTCTCACCAAGCGTGCCGGACGTGAGCGGTGCCAACCCGTCACGTCGCCGTCATTGGTCACGCAAGCTGTGCTACACTCGCCGTAGCGACATCGACATGGAAAATCTCCTAGACGCACTGCACTAAAGCGCCACCAGGCGAATTTAAACATTTGTTAAAAATGTCGTCTCCAACTATAAAGTCCATCTCTCTCCGCTCTCAGTTTGTGCTCTGATGAAGGGCCATTTCTTGACATGTCAGCCTACGATAATTATTCTCTAATGAGACGGCATTAACTGTACGAATGCATGGTTGAGGTTTTATTATTTTTGTATCGGCTACGGGCGACATTTAAAAAAAAACTAGTTGGTATACTTTGACCAAACGAATACATTTCAGGAATACAAATACGCGAGGGAACGTGCGCTCTGCGCGCGTTCAAACATCGAGTCGTGTCGTCTGCGTGCGGTGCGGTGCTTTACGCACCCGACAATGGGATGCTCAAAGCCCATCTTCTCCGCGTTCTGTTGAATCTCTTGCTCAAGCTGAGGCTGCGGTCGCACCAAGAACTTGATGAACTGGGAAACCCACCACACGGAGGGGTCGCCATGCAGGCGTGAGACGCGCTCCCACAGGTCCTCCGGCACGGCCAGAGGCAGGTAAGGGGGCCGGGGGTGGAGACTGTCCACGATCGGCAGCTCCACGACCTGCACGTCACGGTCATTCGCCTCTCCTGCAAGCGCAGCAACACACGACGCTCAGCAACAAACACGATTACCACTCGCTCCACTGCCTCACCTGTACAGCGATCCACACAATTACCACTCACTCCACTGCCTCACCTGTACAGCGATCCACACGATTACCACTCCACTGCTTCACCTGTACAGCGATCCACACGATTACCACTCGCTCCACTGCCTCACCTGTACAGCGATCCACACGATTACCACTCGCTCCACTGCCTCACCTGTACAGTGATCCACACTCACTCCACTGCCTCACCTGTACAGCGATCCACACAATTACCACTTGCTCCACTGCCTCACCTGTACAGCGATCCACACGATTACCACTCACTTCACTGCCTCACCTGTACAGCGATCCACACTCACTCCACTGCCTCACCTGTACAGCGATCCACACAATTACCACTTGCTCCACTGCCTCACCTGTACAGCGATCCACATAATCATCCCTCACTCGTCCCGTGTCAAACCCATTCACGGGAAACCCACACTCACTCCACTGCCTCACCTGTACAGCGATCCACACGATTACCACTCGCTTCACTGCCTCACCTGTACAGCGATCCACACTCACTCCACTGCCTCACCTGTACAGCGATCCACACAATTACCACTTGCTCCACTGCCTCACCTGTACAGCGATCCACATAATCATCCCTCACTCGTCCCGTGTCAAATCCATTCACGGGAAACCCACACGTGGCGCTGTTACAGCGCTGTTACAGCGGTGGCGAGTGCGGCGATTCACGAGCGGTGGCGATGGGGTAACGAAACGCAGCGAGAGACGCCGCCGCTTACCGGACCAGTGGCCTGTGCTCTTCCCAGAGCGGTCCCTGCACGTCTCGCTGACGGGCTGGAAGAACTTCTCGAAGCCTTTGGGGCTGTAGCGCCAGCCCCTGGACTCGAGGATCATGGTGCGCTGCGTGCCGTAGGCGATCATGAAGCAGTAGACGACGTGGTGCAGCTGGCAGCCGTAGCCGCAGCCCTTGTTGATGTTGCACACCAGCTTGCGTGCCGTGCGGCAGTCTTTCGGGTTCTGCATTGGGGACGGTGGCGACGAACAGTGGGAAATGTCGGCGACGCACTTTGGGAGACATTAACATCGTGCTTGCGATGACTAAATAATATCATTGTTGTTTTTAAATTGGGTGCAATTGTGAACAATAGCCACGAGATCAGAGCTAAAGCACGATAATGAACATTTATTTGGGCGTCGATTATCCGGCGTGCAACATTATCCGGCGATCCCGGACCGATCCCTTAACATCGGCATGCTTGATTTCGGTGTCAAACATTAGATGCAGTACATTATACACCACATACAACTTAAACAATGAAAATACTGCAGTATGTCCATCATGCCGTTGCAGAGTCTTCGAGATTGGAGTGGTAAGTACGGTACAGTAAATACGGTAACTTTTTACGGTAGGATATTTATTTGTGTCTATTTGTATGTTTATTTATGGCAATTTCAGAGTAAACTAATTTAAAACACGAAAAGAACACAACACCTAAAAACATGTCATACAAGAATGTACAAAAATAAACTCTTTTAAATAATGTTTAGTGATTATCCGACGTTTTTGAAAATCCGGCGTCCCCTCCCCCCCGAAGCCGCCCGATAATGATCGATTATAATCGATGATCTCCCGTGTGTTCATGATCGCGTTTTAGCTCATCTCACTGGGTAGGATGCTTATACATGTGCTTGTATTATAACCAATCAATCTTCATTCTACGTGCCAATAATTCATCCGTACACCCCCCCAAGGTCGTTAAGATCTGCAGACTCCGCCTTTCTGTGCGGACCTCGATCCCGGCTGTGCTCCTGAGGTGAGCGGCCAATCGCTGTCTGCGCCACGGTTGTGGAATTCCCTACCGTTGGAAATGTTATCCGAAATGTGGATTCTTTTAAGTCTCGTCTTAAAACACATTTTATCAATCATAAAGGTTTTTGGGTTAGATCGCCTAAGTATAAATGTGTCGTAACCCTCCACCACCCGACAGAGCCAGTAAGGTTTGTCATGTAAACAACGCGGCAATTAGTTTACTACTTCAGCCCACCGGTGTGTTAGAGAGTAATTCCACAACATTTACAATTTGAGTACGACGTTTCACTGGTAATTACATCCGGCATAATCGCGCGTTGTCCTCAAATTGTAAATGTTGTGGATTTACTCTCCAACACACCAGTGGGCTGAAGTAGTAAACTAATTGACGCGTTTTGTTTCCGTGACAAACCTTACTGGCTCTGTCGGGTGGCGGAGGGTTACGACACAACATTTATACTTAGGAGATCGAACCCAAAAAATCTTTATGAATAAAATTGGTCGCGAAAGCCTCCTACGTGTTAAACTGACATTTTCTTCAGTCAGTTTATTCTATTTATCTTCTCCATCTCTCTTGGCACTTTCCTTATCCTTCAAAGGAAACATTGAGACATTAGTGGAAGGCACCTTACAAATGTAAATTATTATTATCGCCCACAATAAAAGTCGGCATCGGTGCGCATATCACAACGGAACGGTACAAGGGGGGACAACGGAGCAACAGGGGTGAAAAAAGGAACCCATCACGACCTCAGCGGCCAACGGCGACTGCGGAGGGTAAATTGCAACCGCGCGCAACAGCACAAGAAAAATAAAGTCGTCAATAAAATAAGGTCCCATGAGGTAGCTGCTGCTCACACCGAGCTCTCAATGCCCTGATAGTGCCATTGTCTTTGTGCTGTTCGCCTTTTAGCGTCCTCTGGTCTAAAACTGTTTGAGACTAGGCTCTAAAGAAAGCTGTCTCTGGTGTCGACCAATCAGTTTCAAAGACAATCATATACTGCCAGAGCATGTTGTTTGTTTGCATGTTCACCACAAGTATACGTGGTTAATGCAGACATTATTCCTTGTCTGAATTTGGTGTTTTTAACATCAATTTCCAGAAAGGGTAAAGCTTAATCCTGTAACATTTTTTTCTCTCACGGATGAAAAGTGTCAAGGGTGTCGGCCAGGCCGCTAATGACCCCACGAAACACATCATGATGAGGTAGTTTTTCTCACTTAAATGCGCAATAGTTGCAGTTTTTGATAATTTAAACTGTGAGCTTTACAGCCGTGCAAACGAAAATATTTGGCAACGGAGCGCGAGGGGAAGCGCAGCCAGTCCATTGTGGACACAGAAGAGAGGTCACTTGCAGCAGTTCTGTGACATCTGCTTCTGTGAGCCGCTCTCTAACACACCGCGACACTGCACCAAGTGATTTTGCTGTGACTGGTCCCACCTGAAGACGGAAGCTTGCTTTGCCTCCGAAACGTCGTGTTTTAATTGTTTCTTTTATTTTATTCCAATTTATTTTAATTTGTTTTACCTACGTGACTTTACCGAAAAACACGACATGATACCAATCGCACAATCGGAAAGGCAGATGGGAACGGGCAGTTAATATTTAAGCAACAGGGAAAAAGGCCTTCTTGTTTATTAGAAACAATTTCAAACGTTCATTAGTATCGCAGTGTCACACTCAAAGAGTTCTTTTTGGAAATTGTTTTGCAAACAGTGATGTGAGTTTCCAGCGTAAATTTGTCCATCAGGTGGGAGTGTAGTGACTAGGAAATGTTATTTCTGGTCTGTCTTGACAATAAAACGAAGTGATTCCTGCTGCTCATATGAGCATGGAAGGAGGCAGTGCTCATCCCCTATTTCATGGTGGAAATTCCACATTCCTATGGTGGGGGCAAACCCACCAAAAGCACACCCACTGTTGACTTCCCTGAAAACTGGTACAGTGGTCCCTCGGTTAACGATAAAGATTGGTTCAACGAAAGCCATCGTTAACTGAAATGATCGTTAATCACATGTTAAAGACTTAATACGTTCCAAGACGATGGAAAGTTGGCCTTTGTCATCCTAAGAGCATAGTTTATAATATTTAAACACGCACTTTTTATAAATATATGTTCTGAGAACATCAAAGCATTAATATAAACATGGAAAAATAATGGATAGAGCATGAAGGCACACAGAGCATAAAATAACAACGATTACCTGAGGCTAAGAAGATGAGACATTGAAAAGCGAGCAGCCAGTTGCTCTCAAAACGCTTATAAAAGGTCATCGCTGATTGGCCGAGGTCTGCCGAGTCCACTTAAGAGCGCTCCGATTGGCCGAAATTGGCGGCCGCGTGATATCGTAAAACGTTTAGTTAATAGAGACAATGGGACCCCCCCCCCCCCCATGGGAGGGCCGATCGTTAATCGATGACATTGTAAACCGAGGGAACTGCTGTACTCATTTTATCTCGACTGGAGGGATGAACTTCCGCCGCAGTAGGATGCACAAACGGTCACATGGTGGACAAGCCAAGCTGCTTTGCACCACTGCTGCTCAGGCAGTCTGATATATTTTAAAAGCCGTGCGTCGGCTCGTGCGCTCCCACCCCCCAAGCATGCGGGCGTGATCAAGAGGCAGGGCCAAGCAGTTAGAGGTGGGCATAAACCTATATTTAATTCCCGCAGGCGGATTCCTCGTATGAACTTCATTTCAAGGGTCCGATGCCGAATGTCACCTCGGGCTGGCCCTGCGAGCTGTTAGCGTGCACAGTGCGCCAACGGCTAAAGGCCCAAGGCCCGCTCTGCGCGGAGGACACAGCGCGTGAGTTTTCCTCCATAAATACGTTTCATTTCTCTGCCAGTTTGGTGGATTTATTCCGATAACTGACCATGAAAATGTAAAAAGAAATTTGGACTTAATTTTATTGCAATCAGATTAGGGACACACACAAATGGTTGGAGCAAAAACTATTTTTTGTAATCACAGGGGATGCGTCATTGTGATTCAGACATTAAAGCATGCTGGAAAACCGAACTACGCTTGGTGATTACAATGATAAAAAAAAATCATATTCAAAGATGTTTCTCAAGATAAGGAAGCTGAAGCGAGAGCGATGGAGATGTCCCATCCTCGAAGCACCCAGCAGCACTGTCATGACATGGAACACCAAGAGATCAGAGTTGGTTAATATGTTTAGACAATCATTTTTTGATTCATTTATTTCTAATTACGTAATTGGCGTGATCTCAAGAGACGAAGAAATCTCCGTAAAACGACTTAAAACTATTTTTATTGTACCAGCTAAGCCCCACTGAGCTGTGTAGCTCTTTGTCAGAAGCCTCCTGGCCACAAATGATAGCTCAACGAAGTGGTTTATCATCACGTGGAAATGTACAGCAGCCAAATAGTCGAGACGCATGTCGATTCTAAATGTGGAGGGGAAAAACCGGAGGACCCGGAGAAAAATCCACGCAACCACGGGGAGAGAGAACACGCAGACTCCAAATATACAGCTGCAGGCGTCAGGGTCGGGATCCAACTCATGCGCCCTCCTGCATACTGGGCGAGTAGTTAACATCTCTCTTACAGCTGGCAATGCATCACCCCGACCGCTTCCTGAACACCGCCGCCGCCAACCTACACGTCCGTAACAAAAAACCCTGCGGGAGCTTCTTTGATGCAAGCCAGTAAAGCTGACAACTGTTAATTCCCCGAGCTGGAATTTAAGCGAAGGTAAATGAAAAACCCCAAATTGGTCGTGAAACGTTTTGAGCGTAAAGTCATCGGAGGCCGCGGTCGAGACCAACGGACTCGCTCCGCTTGGGAGCCCGGCTACCTGGAGTCGAACCCAGGTGGCTCAGCAGAGCCAGCTCGGCGCTCCCGATCTCCCTGGGCCGCACAGCCACCTCTAAATTTTAGTTTCATGAATCTGATGTGGGAGTGTTGAATAAACAGTCACAAAAAGCAATTGAAAAGCCACGTTTGAAAAATGTAGCTGATAATGTGATTAGAAATCATCATGTCCCAGATTTGTGAATGTTTTTTACAAACCAAACAGACTATAGCCATGAAATATGATTTAGTCAGAATATTACAATTTCCAAAAGATGGAATGAGTTTAAATAACTTAAGGGAATCACAAGACTAGATGATAATGATCAAATAACACGTTACTCTGGAGAAGAGACATAGTATTGTCTGTCATCAGATGACGTT